CTTAAATCAAGAATATACTAAAAAAATTTTTATTAAAAAATCATTATACAGAGAAGAGATGTCTATAAAAGTCTGGTTTTGAACAGTGTCTGGAAAAGAAAGAGCCAAGACTAAAAAGCCTGAAAGAGATTTTTCCTCTTGCTCAGAACCTTTTAGGTATTTACTGAATGCTTTGTTTTCTGAGTAATAAATAATAATCTTTAAGTACTCTCCAGTCTCTGTGTTGTCACTCCAACACAGCTGTAATTTTGTCAGCACATGAACTGTATGAAATAGTATTTAAGTTTTTTTGGACAACTGTCCTAGCCTATGTCAAAGAGAGCCTTTTTTTTTTTTTTTTTTTTTTTTTGAGGAATATAATATAAAATCTTTCAATACTTTCCTAAAAGCTTTACTGGTCTTTGGATCATGCCCTAGTGTGGAGAAGGGGAGGATTAGGTTGGCTGAGTGTAGCTGAAAACATGCACTCAGTATCATAAAAAAAAAATAAATGTGTGCTTTACTATATATAGAAACAAAATCCTTTGTGAACTTGGACATTATGTAGATAATATTACTTACTGAATGTGCTGTGGAGACAAAAGATTTTAGTTGGTGGTACTGAGCAGATGCTGAAGGCTTCTATGCATTTTATTTTAAAACTTCATGTATTAAGAAAAAAGGAATAATTTGGTTGTGGAAGTTTCTTGTTAATTTCTAAGTAAGCTATCTGAATAGCTTGCTTGGATGAGAGGAGAAAAAAAAGAAACACAAAAGGGCAAATCTGCATAGTATAGTTGCCTTTAGAGATAATATTTTCTGGATATGTGCCAACAAACATGTTTTATTTCCATCATTTTATTTATAAATGTATGAACCCACTAGGTAAAGAATAATCTTGTCCGTGTGAAAAAGCCCCCCTAACATAGAGTTTAAATCAAGTGCATGTATTTTAAATGCAAATCGGATCTATACCCAACTGCACAATTGCTTCCTTTCATATGGTTTATAGAAATTTGAACCAAAATTTTTGATCAAACACCTCTGAGCTTTGGAACATCTGAAGCTGAGTCCAGATTCTGAGACTGGATATATCTCTAGTTTTAAACAGTCAGTAATTTAATTTTTGTTAAGAAACTTTTTCTCTATGAAAAGTTGCAAGAAGTGCTTCAAGCTATGTCTGCATTAGCAGGCAGCATGGTGCAGCAGGAGTCGATCAGTTGGTATTGAGGAGCTGCCGTCTACCTAATATGTGTTTCAGGGAGGGGCTACTTAGCTCTAGTTTGATTCTTTGGACTGAATTCCCATTAGTGGTTGGTGTGCATTAGCAGTGCTCCCAGAGATCATCTTCTAGCTGAATTTCACCATAGAGGAAACCACTTTGTGCCCTCTGAAGCTATTGTGTGATTTAAACAAAAATGCAGGAAGTGGAAGTGATGGGGGTTTACTTTCAATAGTAAACTTCTGATCTGAACAAAAGTGTTAGTCTAATGTTAAAGTGATGAAATGTGGTTGAAAAACGGAAAAAAAATGATTGAGTTGATGGAAACAACATAGTTTCTCTACAGTAGTTTTAACTGTAGTTTAACTGTAGAAGCCTTTTTAGGTTGGCAACAAATTGTTGGCAACACTTCAGCATTACTTAAAAGACTAAAAGCATTTGTCTTGGAACAGTTGACACAAAAGGACCATACGAATTAAGCTGTGTATTTTCAGTTGCTATTCTTGGCTTGCTCATTTGGAAAATTACAGTTTCATGTAAGGTTTTAGCATCTCCTGGAACAGCCCTGCTGTTTATGCAGCAGTAGCATAGCTGAGGAAAACTTTTCACACCTGTTGATCAACATCTGAAGAGTTGAGATAACAAGCATGTGAAGTCACACTTCTTATCTTTCTCTCCATCTAAAAATAAATGCCATGGCTCTCTGCAGCTTGTGATATATTTATTTATATAAAAAGTCTGGACACAGCTGAGAGGCATAGTAGCATTAAGCTATCATGCTTTACTGGCTATGCCATTCTTAAGCCAGAAGATAAAGTAGATAGTTCTTTAGCTGGACACTTTGTAAAGGATTTGTGCCAGGAACCACGGACGCGCTATTGAGAAAAAGAATTCAGCCTTGAGCTGAATTTAGATCTCTATATTCAATTCCCCCAGACTGAAGTGACTGGAGGATGAGATCTCCCATTTTTCTTGCCTGTGAGGATCAAGGATTTTAGAATCGGCATTAACTGAAAACCTTTGTTTCCTTGATGTTATATTGGTGTAAAGGTTTTCACATAGGTTGGTACCTGCAATTAGTGATAGGTTTACCTTCTAATTCTATTAGTCGTGTCAAACACAAACCTTTCAAAATAACACCATGTGATGATGCAATACCACTGAACTTTCCCCGAAGTTTTGGCATCAGGTCATGTTCTGTGACTTTCTTTTAACCTAACAGTTCTTGTATCTACATTTCCGAGAGTTTCCCCATATTTGCAGCTGGGATGATTGGCCTGTTAAAGAGAGAGCAGGTTTGGGTCTTCAGTTTTGAAAATACATGATCTCATTCAGTTTTAGAAAGCTAATTTTGCCCAGATTATATAGTCAAATGCCTAATACAAAAACTGTGTTCCATTCTTGCCAGTGGTTTGATAAATCTGAAGCATACTCCTCTGTCAGGCTGAAAATGCCAAACTTCTATTATTGTCAAGGTCACCTGATGCTCACACTTTCTCATTTTTCATACCTATTGAAAAGAAATACACAATCTTTATCATATGTAGTGGATTTATTTTTACCTTCAGTTACTCCACAAAAAAGTGAATATCAGCAAATATTTTAAAACACCAATGATGTTTTAGGTTTGTAAAAATAGACATTATGTGCACTCTAACTTTCAAAAGGATTTTCAGTTTTATTTTATGGGCTTTATCAGTGGAAAAATATAAATGCTACACATAACCTTGATGAGCAGAATTATGTTTTGTGCCCCAAAATAATTCAAGAACTAACCTTTGAAAGGGTGCAACACTTTTTTATGTCTGCTTTTGATATGCAGACATAAATTATATATGCAGTGACACACATTTTAAAAACATTTTAATTCTGAAATAATACTTTAAGATATTTTGAAAAGTCTTCGAACATTTGGACATTGTATTTCAAGCTTTGGGATTCATGAATTTTGAAATAAAGTCTGTACAGCTTTTATTTTGATTCCATATTCTTCTTACATTTTAAGTTTCTTATACTGTAGAATGGGAAACGTATATAAGATTGTTTGCAACTGAGTTGTTAATTTCCGATAGTCTTGTAGACTTGATACAAAATTTTGTAGATTTTTCTACTTTAAAAGTGGGTTCAAAATACCCTAATAAATACCTTATGAATTGTGGTGATATTTTTTGAAAGTGCTAAGGTTCAGTTTGTCAGTCAGGTGTATATATGTAGCTGGCACCGACCTGAAAGCAATGTAGCTCTTAAAAAGTTTCAGAAATTGACTTAAAAACTGTATTCTTTTAGCCTTTTTTTCCTTTAGGACTTCACCAGGCTTTTATAAAAGATCTTTCCTTTGCAGATTTTAATTAACATTTATTTTTAAAGTTGTCCAAGTTTTAACTTACCAGCAATAAAGAAATTATGATGGTGTTTCCCCATTGTTCCTGTTATGGAAATTGAAAGAAGGAGATGCAAAAAAACAGTACAATTTTCTGCAGAAAGGTTTTAAAATTTACTTTAATTCTCAATTTGCAGTGACTTCCTATTATATTTTTTTTCCAAAAAACAATGTATGTGTGTGCATGCCTCAGAACAATTTTCTGTGAAGTGATATGAAGGCTAATTTCATTGCAAATCATTAAAACAACGTAGAACTTCTGTTTTTCTTCTTACTAAATAGTCTTTATTATACTAGCCATTTTATTGTATGAATGAATATTAATTCCTTATCACAGTTGCTGCATCAGAAAATTAAGTCAATATAACCCCAAATTGAAAGCAAAGTAAGCAAAATCTATTTTTGGCATACATTAATGGTAGTTGAATAGTGGAAGCAGACATAAACAACTGCTTGTTTTGTACTGTCCATGTAAAATAGCTACTTTTCTAATGATCTGTCAAGTTTCTGCATTTGTTAGGGCCCAGCCTGTAACACTTTGATGGCTTTGGTATTTGCACAGATATTTAATTTCTGTTAAAAATAATGACTTGATTACAGCACTGATGTATATGCTGTAGTAATCATGTAATACCACATCTGTTTCACTTTTTTTGTTCCAGTACAGCTGTTTTAGTTTATATTTCATTGAGTTACATTGGCAATTTCAAAGATAATATTTTAGCAGAATTTTACTGGTATAATATGCTAGTGCTGGTTAATAGGGACTTCCACCTCCCTCAGAATCCCACAAGAAAAGGTTTGAAAGCTGCTACTTTGAACTCGGGCAGAAGTCCTGACACTTGTACTGCAGTTCTAAGCTGTTAATGGCTTTTTGTGTGCATGCATATATTTGTGTGTTAAGGTAAGACTAGCATTTTGGGTAAACAGTAACTGCTTCATATCCCTCTGGTGGCCTCATGCGAGCTCGTGCATGAGCTTCACAGTATAGCTGGCCCTCCACAAAGAAGTAGCCTTTTTGTTTCAGGTTGAGATTGCAGTCAGAGCACACAAAACATTCTGGGTGTCGGTATTTATCTCGTGCCTTCACCACTGTTCCTCTATATGGAAACAATGAAAAGAAAAAAAAAAAACAAACTAGTTAATTCATATGAATTTCAAGTGAGAAGAAACTACAATATGACACAAAGTAAGTTCTAGGTATTTATCTTAAGGCTTTTAGGTTGTTCGTCTGGTGGTTTTGACAACTACTATGTAATCTAATATTGGAAGCTGAGTTTAAGTGACATGAAATACCATCGAGTTTATCACATAGTTCAATAGTTCATTGGAACACTAGAGTTTGAAGAAACATATTAGTTTGGTTACAGCACAGAAAATATAGTCTAAACTATCAAAATGGTGACAAAATGAGTTTAAAAAACACATTTATTTTCTTCAGGGACTGTGTTCTCTGAGCTCGTAATTATCATGTGTTCTTTGCTGAAGTTAGTGATGTCATTCAGATAGAAATCTGGCAGTTTTAAAATAGGTCCACACAGCTTTCTGGTTACTCCCACTGGGTTGGGAGAACGGTGCTTTACACTACCATGAAACTTTTGAGAATTCACAGCCTGAGACAATGCAGCACAGGTAACTGCTGGTTTCATTACGTATGTTTTAATGATTGACTTGCAAAATGTCCTGAGAAATCTTAATTAAAGCCTTGACAGTACATTGTCAAAACTGAAATCATCTGCATCGAAAGTGTCTAAGGCACAGGTTGATAATTTGGGATTTAGAACAATATATTTTTTTTTATCTCTGTTCTCTAGAAGCATTTTTCTACTAGTGCAGAACGGAGACCAAGACCATCACTTGGAAAACATTCTTGTAGTCTGCGGTGGTGTTTGAGGACATGTGCTTGAACTAGAGATTTCTAAAACTAAAGAGAAACAACTTACAGAATCCCATTCCCACACTTGTCACACAGTGGCACTTTCTGGGCACCAGGCATGGCAGTAGGTATCTTTGTTACAGGTGCTTTCACACTTCTTGTACCCATGGGGCGTCCCTCTGAGAAGCAAAACAGTCCTGTTACATACAGGCTAATATAAAAGCATTCAATGCAGTTAAAGACTTTTCCTGTAAATACACTTCTGGATGTATTTACAGTATTCCACTTATATCAACAATGAAGTTTCTCTGTACAAGTTTAGTGGGCCAGATTCCACCTCTTTGGAATTGGGAAAAATATTGTGTATCTGTAGCCAAAAAGCAAGTACAAAAGTGATTATACATATGGTACTCATAGACATCATCAAATTCTCTGATAGTAGGTCTCAGGTGTATCAGGAGAAGGAGGAGGATTTGGCATTAACATACGAACATAACATAGCCAAGACTTGTTGTTAGAAAGCTTCTTATTTATATAACTAACGATACCACACATTCAAAAAGATTAGTAACATGATACGAATACAGAATTATAGCAAAATACACAAAAATGCCAAGCAAAATCCCGCAATGATCTGTGTAGACAATTAGATGTACTTATCCCTTCTCTGGTAAATATTAAGATATAAAAATTTAAATGTTAAATAGGTTAATTTTGATTGTATTTTATTCTTTACATTCACTGTAAATATAACAAACTTGCAGCCTTTAATGATATTTTCAAAAATTCTTAATTTGAAGGAAATATGACTGTAAATTATATTATCCTCTTCTATTTTTATTTAGAATGAAGAGGGGATGGGTGAAACTTATTTTAGGAGTTGGTTTAAATTTCTCTTTTCCTGGATGTGGAACAGAGTGGTTTCTTTCTTGGTATCATGGGCTTTGTCCCAGAAGTTCTCTCGCATAAAACTTTTTATCATTCAGTTAAAGTCAACTGTGTACATTAACTATCTTGAAATCTCAGAAGAGATTCTGAAAAATGTGCTTAACATCACCATTTTATTCACACAGGAGATTCCTAGCTATAAAAGCAAAGGGGAAAAATGTTAGGAAGCTGGTGTTCTATCTATAATATTCAGAATGACTTGGGCTTTCAGAAATGCTTATAGCTCTGATCTCTCATATTTTCTTCTCAGATTCCCCTTTCCCACAAACATTTAAAAATGCTTTGAACAGGCAGAATATGTCATTATTAACCACCTTCCTCGGAGACTAAATTCTGGAGCACCTTAAAGGAGCCAGACTGGCGAGGTTGATTGGGCTCCTCCTTGTTGCCATGCAGCATCTTGTACACGTCAGACTGCGGCACTGAGTTGGGAGATGGGTCACTGTATCACAGGGAGGAAGAGTAGATAAAGCAGTTTAACAAACATAACTTTGAAGCGATAGCTCTACCAGGCATAGCATATGATTCAGAAAAGAAACATAAAGACAGTGTGTTTCTACAGCTACTGAAAAACTCTTTCTTCCAGGTCACGTTGCTTTATATAGTCTTCTCTTGATCTAAGAAGTGCTGAAAAAAAGAATCTGTGCAAATGTTATAAAAATACATCTACAAACTCAGGAAAGTATTTCCATAATTACTGTTCTGGCTCTAACAGCCCTTGTAAATAGCCCAGTACCTGTGTTTAACCCCAGCCCTAAAGCAGCTGCATTCCTGTAATCAACTGCTGTATTACCAGGTGCTCTTTGGTACGGTATTCAGAAGTTCCATTTTCACAGCAGCTGGCCTCAAGAATGTTGTTAAAATCACAGCTCATATCTTTATATAAGCTCAGCCAAAACCTAAGCGAACAAATCTTTTGGGAGAGTATCATGATGTGAAGGTGTTCTTACTTTTCTAAGTTGGGTCGATCACTAGTTAATATAGTGATTATTTGGCTAATATAATTGTTACTTATTTAACCTGTGGAGATGACAAAAAAGAGTGAAGTAGGTATTGCATAGTAGGAAGCATTGTAAAATGAACACTGATGAATGGAAATTCTATTTTTAATTTATTTAGAATGGGATATGGCTTAATTTTTGTAATGCCAATTTTATTACAAAAATATAAAGTAAATTATTGTCCAGACAACAGTTGGTGGTTGAATTCTCAATGACCCGTGAGCCAAAGATTTTACCAATAATATTCCATGGTATTTTAAACTGTGCTGAATATTTTAAATTGATCATGATAACTAACATCCTGGGTAGTTGAGAGGAAGAGTAGGTGGTTATATGCATTGGTGAGAATTAGGCTGAATGTGTGGCATCTGTAAATTTAAAACTGCTACTGAGGCTAATTAGAAAGGTCCATATTTACTTCTGTTAAGTCTGTTATCTCACTGATAGAGATTTTCTTCTTACAGCTGGCCTGTGCTGAACCTTAGGTAAGTTTGTGCTGGAAATAAGCAACTAGTTCCACATGGAATTAGATGGGGTTTTGCTTTATCTGGTTTGGTTTGTTTCCCAGGATAGCATCCTGGGAATGCCAAGGCATTCCTCAGTAAAGCTAAAATTACTGCTAAATTGCAACCGTGTGAGATTTCATCCGTGACAGCACCTAAGAGGAAGAAATACTCCCCCTTCAAATATGAATGTGAGTCCAGCAAGTGTGTTTGATTTCTGCTTTTGGCTTACTGCATATTGGTATGGTATTTCTTCACTGAAACAGTTGTCAGTCATTGGAACAGGCTGCCCAGGGAAGTGGTTGCGTCACCATCCCTGGAGGTATTTAAAAGTCATACAGAGGTGGTGCTTAGGGGACCTGGTTTAGTGGTGGACTTGGCAATGTTAGGCTAAGAGTTGGACTTGATCTTAAAGGTCTTTTCCAACGTGGATGATTCTATGATTCTATGATCTAAGCTCTGAAATGGCACAGTAGGAGCAGCCGCAGTTGGGCAGTGACCCTTGTTGCTTATGTTTATTGCATCTTCATCAATCAACAGATTTCTCTGAGCTGTCTTTTAGCTGGTGAAGAAACTACAACTTTCTCCTCTTGTTACAAGCTTTTAATGAATAGAAGGAGCTTGGTTTTTATGAATCTCACTAGTGGATAATTAAACCCTTGATTCTCTCCTTATTGAAATATTTCTAAACATCAAACAAATGATAATGCAGTTACATACAGAAGGCAAAAAACCAGACACAAAGGTGTGAGATAACATTTCTAAACACATACATAGTGAAAACCAATTCCACAAGAAAAGAGACATTTCAAACCTGCGTAGAGCATCAGTTCTCAAACTGTGAATGCCACAGGCATTTGTGGAATCTGATTATTCTGGGATTAATCCATTATTTCAGAATAAAGAAAAAGCAGATTTTCCTTTTATTGTTCTCTAATTCTTGTGATTGAGGATAAATATTAATGCAGTAGAGTAATACCACTCTGCAAAGACTTCATGAACTACAGTTTTCTTTTAATCAGATAGGGAGTACTTAAATACTTCTCTAAAAATATTATTTTTATGGTTAGTAACAGCCCAATTCTGCAAGGTGCTGAAGAAGGCTCATTGGTGCCAGTGATTATTGCTTATTTAAAATATTAGTAATTAGCTTTAGTTTACACCATACATATTGTGAATTACTAACTTACTTTTGTAAAACAGAAAAATAGGTTACTATTACGCAAAAGTAAAGCAATGTGAATGATGAACTGTCCCTTGAAAAAAATTAATAGTGTTTTAAAACTCTTTATTGTTTAATGATCATTGTTATTCAGATACATAAGGTTCCTACCTGACTTTTAGTCATTGCAGTGGATAAAATTAAGTCAGAGGTGGGTTAGTAGGCCTACAATATCAATTTTGGTTCTTTTTGGACAAGAGCTAGTTGTACTGAATGAGTTGTCCTGAAGGGGAGTTAAATATCTAGAAGACTATAGACATCTACAAGATTTCCTAAGCTTCATAACTGGAATTTCAACAGTGGAAACAAATTTGAATGAATAAAAACAATTTATTAATTATTAATTAGTTATTAATTGGTTATTAAATAATTACGACAACAATAATAAACAGTTTTGCATTTTGGAGGGAATCAGAATCTTGATTTGGAGTCAGCTAACAGTCCAGGTAGTATCATCAGTTTTTATTTATTAGCTACAAAGATAAGATTTCCTACAAAATATTTATTTGTAAATTCTGAAAGACTCTTTTAATACTTTGGGTTAAAAATAATAAATAACTAATATTTTAATGCAAATATTGAATGGCTTTAAATGACTTAGGTTCTTTCAGAATTTTTTCACGCATTATTATAGAAACAGTGTGATATTATTAAAGCTAATGATTTTGGGTATATTCTAAATTTGTGTATTCATAAATACGAAAGATACTGCTCTAATTACCTTATTATGGGTGTTTCCCCCAGAGCTGTAGAAACTTGGCCTTGCAGTGTTTCCATGATATTTTCATCTGAGTACAACTGCAAAGGTGTGTTAAACTGAGCGTGTACAATCTTGACACCAGGAAGCTCCATTTCCAAGGGAATGTTAGGGGCCATCCTAGACGCTGCTTTCAGCTCGGTAGGGCAGATAGAGCTAACCGTGCTAATTGAAGAGGGGGTACTGCGTCCACTGCCACAGTCAATCCCCGAAGGAGTGCTGCATCCACTGTGTTAATAGCCAGGTTACAGAAGAGTGTGCAATGCATGTCAGATTATAGAGAATAAAGACAAAAGTTCAGGAATATGGTGATGTTAACAGGGCTGAAAAGCATAAATAGAACAGATACATAAAAGCAAAAGTACAGAAAGTAGAGAAAAGCAAAAGTATGTGTATTAATTGAAAACTATTTTCCTGTCAAATGTATCAATGCCAGTTATAAAGCAGTCCTTAACGTTCGTGCATGCATTTTCTTTAAAGATAGTAAAAATTCTTTGATAGATTGAATAATTCAGAATATAGTATTACTTTACATTTTTAGTGCTAGATTTTATTTAGGATTAATTAAGCCTCCCTAAAATTATTCAATTCTAGGTGAGTAATTCTTAACATCTACAAAAGGGTAGCATACAAAGGTTATGTGAGTTGTCTATGTCAGTGACAGAATAAACACCTGCAAGTACTGGAATCCTAGACACATCATTCCAGTCCTGTACCTCACAACCATCTTAGTCCACAGTTGAAGAGACTACTATAAAGTAGTGTAAAATAATGAATGTGCCATTTCCTAGATTTCCTTAAATTCTACAATAAGATATTTATTAATCTTTTAAAATTAGTTTAACAATATGTTTCATTTTTTTAATGTTTGTTGAACATTTTGAACAAGAAAAGATACTAGACCAGCCAGGCATACTTTTGCATTTCTAAATTACAGTGTTTCCAGTAGAATGCAAAGTGGTCCTTCACAAGAACAATGGATATATATTCAGAGAATTAATTTTACTGCTTTTGAAGTAGATTTTACATACAATTTATATATAATAAAAATGATCTACAGTTTTTTAGGAATATTAATGTTAGTTGACATTACTGAAGTAAAGTTCCTGCACACCAGTCTGACATATCTGGAAAAGTACTAGTAAAATAATGTGAACATTAAGGCCAAAGTCTTTTTCAGTGTTTCTGTTTTGAACACTTTAGTCTTTTCTCCATAGCACCTCGGAGGCTTTCTTTGTTATATTTCTTTGCTGTTGCTGTGTAACAGCACATAACCCAGGCTTTCCACAGTCATTGGTTACCATTAATGTGATACTTAAGAGTTACGAGATGATAAACGCTTAATCTCTTTCCTCCAACCCGCATATCAGGGTTGTGGTTAGTTCTTTCCAAGCTGAATGATTCTGTGTAAACCTGGGAGAATATTTCTCAGTTTCATGGCACTACTCTGCCCAGTAGTTACTCTTGGGTGGAGAAAATGACCCAAAATTCTCCCTTTGATTCAGAGGGGAATTTGTGTAGGACCACTTTCTCAAAAATGTAAAGGGAAATATATACTCTACCATCAAAGACATACCAAAAGAAAGATAATTCCAGAAATGGTATGCAAGCCTTAAAGCAAAAGTACAGTTGTGCATCATTGCCTAGCATTAGCGAGCCAAAAAATTCACTTAAAAATTTACAGTCCTTTGCTTTAGAAGAATCAGGACCACCTTTAGATCCTGCAGTAGAATGAGTTCTGTCAGTGCTGATAGTGTTAGTACATAGAAAGTAGCAGGAAAAGGCTAGGAAAAGCAGAACTCTTACTATAAGCAGCCAAAGTAATGTTAAAACAGAATAAATGATAAATAAAATACAGTTGTATATTAAATATAATTTCCAGTTAGTTTTGCCAGAGTAAAGTCCAAAGTTGTGGCTAATGTCCAGTCTGTTAACTCAAAACCCACAGGCCAACATCATCTTTTCTTTTAGTCAAAGCCCTATTTAGCTTCAGCTGTCTGACCTAAAGGGATATTTACAGTCAAGGTGGCGGTTTGGTTTTTGCTGTGTTTAGCAGAGGATATATATCAAGCCAAACTGAGGAAGAAGTAGTAGACAAACAATGTGACAACCAAGGTTTTGTAGATTTAACACCCTCTGTCAGAGATTCTGCAGTTTGTAAACACAGACTGCTCCAGTGGTAGAACACTTGACAGTCCTTGTCCAGCTGAAATTCTGAAACCTGTTGCATTGCTGTCAGGTTAACTTTTGCAGGATTTTTCCCAATCTGACATGCTGGAAAATGGCCATTTACTTCAATATTTTAATGGAAAATATTGTGTAATTGAGGTTTCTGAATTGTGAGATTTGGCACTTGATACACTCATTTGAATCTCCATAAATCCAATTAGATACATGTAAATGGCACCTAGTGGTCCAAAAGTCAGTTTAGGTACAGTATGTGAGTGCTGCCTACAGTTAGAGGCCATGCATATTTGATAAGGACTGTTTTGTCATTTATCCTGTATCAGGATCAGACTGCAATGAGAGATAGGCACCTTTTCTCTGCTGCGGCAGGGTTCTACATTGATAGTTCTTGTTCACAGAAAGATGGGACTCTGTCCATCTTCTACAGTCGACTCTTTATCACTCAGGTCATTGAAAAATTTAACATATCTCACAAAACTGGTAATCCATACGAGATTGTCCTTTGTACACAGGAATCAATTATCATCCTGTTTTTTCTGGTCTAGTTTGTCAGACTTAAATTAGTATTATTGAAATCCAGACATTTTAAACTTTCAGAATGAAATGAAGAACACTAAGTCCACTGGTAAAAACTGCTACTGCTAGAAAGGATAAAGCGTAGCACCACAATCTATTGCATCACACAGGCACTTTTGAGCTTCCTTGCGTTTTTAGGCACAGAGCTTGCATTGTTTTTCCCCCTCTGTATTTAATAATGTAAATAATATGTGAGGCATTTCATCCCCAGTTATGATGGAGGAATATGACACTAAAATGATGAATGTTAATATATAAGCTTTTCTGCATTTTAGAGCCTTACATGTCTGTGGCATCGGATAGTTATCGTATTTTAGCTCTGTATTAGGTTGCCTTCTGAATAGAGGTCTACTAAAAAGAAAACTTAAAATCTCTGAATGGCCTAGATGATAACTTATGTAACTAGCTATCTTTTATTTAGCAAGTTAACAAATGACACGTATTTGCATTTGGACAGAAGAATTTCAGAGTGCCATAGATTTATAAATTTACAACATCTGGTGATACGCTGTAAACTGAATCAAGTTCATGAATATAGTTACTTCAGAATCATATCAGGATAACTGAGATGGGAGTGTGGACCTTTTTTCTTTTGGAAATAGTAATTTGAATTTCAAGCCTGTTCTCTGCAAGTCAACCATTTCAGTTATTTTGAATTTCAGTGTTAGGTTATATACTACTACAAGTAAATTTCAAATGCATCCATATGCTTTATTAATATGAATGGTGAGTATCCATTAAAAAAAACCACCATGCATCCAAACCCAGCACAGCACTCAGAGTTTATAACCTGCTTCGGCCTGAGACTATGAAAGGTTTGGGCCGAATATTATGCTTGTGTTCAAAGTAGTTCATATCCTGTAAAGAAAAGAGGGTTAAAATAACTTTCTTTGGCCTATAAATGCTTATTTATAGTTAAAAAGTAGCTAGCAAAGTTTAAAATCGTAACCATGAAGTAACCATGTTTAGTTTGTACATTCCTGGTACTCAAAATACAATCACTTCAGTGTTCAGAAACATTTAGAGTAAAGTGCAGTTATAAGAGAGAAGAATGGTAGGTAGTGTTGCCGCCCACCACAGAGGGCAAGTTTTAGCTACCTGCAGTGTTGCTACTACAGAGCTGAATGGATAGTTTTATGTGTCGGAAAAAAAAATGCTTCATTTATCACAATTTTTTGGTATAATCAATAAACTCCTGATTATCAGAAAAAACAGCAAGAGCTGGACTTTTTAGTTGAAAGCAGACCATATAGTGATATACCACAAATGACCACGTATTATAAGTAAATACCAGTACTCACTTTTGTGATGAGTTAGGAATGAGACTCCTCAGTTGTCCATGAAGTGCGTCTTGAATATTGCCAGATGAATACAGCCCAATTGGAGAATTATAGGAGGAGCTCACTACCTGTCTTTTCTCATCAATATTTGCTGCTGCAACAAAAGGCTGGGCCCTTCTGTTGTGAGCTGTACCAATAGGCTTGAATTCCTGTACATGATAGGCAGACAAAATACACAAAGCTACAACGCACACCAAAGCTAGTAATGAGTAAAACTGACAACATCAGTATTGTTAATCTCTGCATTTTTTACTTTTGCGACTTTGTTATTTTTTAACTGGTGCAAGCATACTATATTTTTCCATGAATTTTCTGTATGCTAGTTAAGCCCTACACATTCAGAAACTATTATTTTTCTGCTTCAGGGCAAACAGAAGGCATTCCACATTTGTAAATAGTGTGCAACTTTAAGAGGGAATGGGAGAGATTAATATTATAGTCACCTGTTGTTTTGTTGTCTAGATTTTGCACTGTTTATGTTCTTCTTTTAGAAACATTTGTTGTATAGTTGGCTTAATTGCTTTGTCTTAGTGCTAACCTCTGGCTTCTGCTTTTTTGTCACACACTGATGGAGGGACTCACAAAAGTATGAAGATTTTATTGTAAGTGTCTTGCCTAGAAAACATGTGATTGTTAGTACTTCTTTTAACTGACATAGTCTTGAATGTACATCAGATTGAGGACATTTTTCTGAATTTATTCCATACTTTGAAGCATACCTGTGCATCAAAAATTATGATGCTGTATAATTTAAAGATAATGTGAAATCATCATAAGGAAGTAAAACCCAGCAATGGGTAAATTTGGAATAATTCTGCCTGTGTTTGTTTATTTCTGGAATACAATTTTGTTTATTGTTAGCCCAAATAATTTCCTCCATTTGTGGAATTCATAGGGATAAGATCTGGAAATAGAATCTCTGATGACCTTTCAGATAGCTTACAATATTCTTCTGTAGTGATTGACCAGGGATGATAAAGATTGTTGACTGTGCAAATTCACTTCTTTGTATTGTGCATATTTAGTACAGTCTCCTTTGAGTCCCTGTCAGCTCAGGTCCATGCCTAATCCACAGAAATACAGACTTTGGAAAAACTAGTGCTGTCATCTGCTGAGGGTTTTTTTTTCCCTTCTGTGCTAGTGGGTGAAGAACATTTGCTGCTGTAGTCCTGATGTCCTGCAGCACTCTTTGGAGACAGTACTGTGAGAGCACTTGAACTTGCATCCATACGGAATAAAAAGCTCTTGTTCCTAACAAATAGGTTTCTACAATCTGACGTGGTGTCCTCTTTAGAGACTGGAACTTGCAATGTTAAGGTAGCATAGGTCATCAGTACTTCAGTTTTCATCAAAATCTTTGCTGGTTCTCTGATTTGGCTTTGGTTTTAAGTGGGATAGGAATACATCTACAATACTATAGACTATTCCTGTATTTATGTTGCTATCTCACTGTGTCATATGACCTGTAGACAGTCTAAATTCTGGTACTCCTGAATGAGATTTCATTCAAATTGTTGAAGCTTGTATCTTTGATACTAGAGCTTTTGGCTTAATCACTGTAACAGTTTATGCTGTCTGTTATATTCTGTCATATTTTTAATGGTGACGCACCCAACATCTTCAGCTTTCAAATTATTCAGGTGCAATTGTGGTCTTTCACTGATGTCTTGCAAGCTGTACAAGCTAGTCTCTGTGTTCTGCTAAATAAAACTCTAAAAAAAAGTGGTGTTTTTTTGATGCAGAAATGCCTTTTTTAGATTATCTTAGCCTTTAGGAATGCTAGAAAAATTTCCAGTTAGAACAAATACAACCTACTACCAAAAACCAAAATAGATATTTGAATACTCAAATCCACAGAATAATTCAAGATAATAAGAGCAGATTAGATAAGCATGGACACATTTTTGACATCTGTAGATTTTGATTCATTCCTCAGAGCATTCCTTTGTTAGACAATATCAAGTCTCTGCTCAAAGTTTTGGTGAATAAGTTATAAAAATTATGAAAACCTGAATGTGAATTGCCCTTTTGTTTCCATTTAAAGCAACAGTTTCAGAAATATATTTAAGAACAGACCTAAAGAAAAGTCATGGTTATATAGAATGTGCAGCCAGAAAATGCAAACAGTAAAAAGCAGTTTTATTAAATGAAAATGTTTAGCAGCATTGCACTGTAAGAGGCTACTGAAAGCGACAATCAGATAAATGAGGACAAAGATTTTACTTGCAGTTCCTTGTTTCTGTCTGATAGAACTGGGTTGCAATTAACAAAATGTATTAGTAAATGGAAATAATCTACTAGTGTTTAGGATCATGTCTACTTAATGAAAGATATTAATGTCAAAGTGTTTAAAATTGATTTTAATCCATGTATGATACAAAACGAACAAAACCAACTGTGGACATTGTGATTTCATCCCCTTTTTTATTTCTTTTTGACAAATGAACAGCACAGAAGACGTGGCACCATAAGAGCATGTTTACAATATAACAGTTGTAAAATAAGTATTTTCAGTTAGTTAGACTTAAATGCCGTTTTCTTTTTAACTCATCTATTCCTATAAAATGTCAGTGACAGAACATACAGAAGTAAAAACAGTCCAGCTCTTGTGTTTATTTGATCTCATTGGATCTGTGAAAAGTCCTCTAGTTCAAAAGCTAAAAGAGAACTGGAGGTTGTCGAAATTCATAATCAGGAATATTCGAAAATTACCGTATTTAATTTCTTAATTTTTTTCTAGCTGACTGGTGTCTTTTTTGCAGGGCTAACTACATTTTTCACTGATATAGGTATCAGGAATAGAATTCATATAGTCCCCAAAGTCTGTAGAAATGCACCCAGCACGGGCCATATCATGGCATTCCTTGGGAATAATGGCTATGACAGTACACAGATGTTTACATTTTGGGGAGGTATCATGTGACTAAAATCTTAACCTCTGAATGCTGTTATGGAAGAGTGGGTATGTCCTTACAGCTAGAGTAACACAATTATATTGTGTCAAAAGTTGATTGTAAGTGGTAATGGACTATAAACTTACTTTTTAGAATAGGGGTTTGTGGGGTTTTTTTTTAGATTTTTATACTTAACTATTACTTTTTAGAATAGGGGTTTGTGGGGTGTTTTTTTTTAGATTTTTATACTTAACTATGTGTATAGTATATTTATATCTCCCAGGAACATATAATGTCTTTCATGGCCAAAAGCCTAGTTACACTGAACAAAATGTTCAAAGGCAAAGACAGAAGCAAAAAAAAAAAAAAAGGCCCAAATAAAAAAAATTCAATAAATTATGGTAATGGAAATAAAGTCTTTTTAGATGAGGTTAAAGGGCTTGTAACTGAGAAAAAATTTACAGGTCATAGTATTGTTTTACATTGACAATACAGTAGAAAAGATTTTAAAAAAGCCCAAATTAAAAAAAATTCAATAAATTATGGTAGATGAGGTTAAAGGACTTGTAACTGAGAAAAAATTTACAGGTCATAGTATTGTTTTACATTGACAATACAGTAGAAAAGATTTTAAAAATAATTGTATGAGAAACAGTTTGCCATCTAGATTGTTATGTTCTCTTCCTAACTATATTATTTGAGTTCCTTATGTTCTAAATTGCTTTTATGCAGAATACGATGTGATTATATTAGTAATACTTCAAGTAGTCTATTATTTCTTATTATTTGTCCGTCATGCTGTAGGTTGCTCCAGACTAGCAAAATTAGGTGGCTGGTTTTAATGTGGCAATGTGTAGCTTTCACGAGTGGCTCTCAGTGAGCCACTTATTGCTGTAAGTTATTTACTAGAATTGTTGCCTCAGTTTCCTCTTCCCAGAAGAAAAAATAGTAAGAGCTTTCATTGTGTTATGACAATTGCCTATATCAATCTCCAAATGACTCTTTGGGGATGCTTGGCCTAATGCAAAAGTTTGCTATGGTGTAAAGGTTCCTTGTTCCATAGCCACAAGTAGGCACGGTATTTAGTTGTTTAGCAGTTTTCACATAACGATCTCCAAGTATCTGTAGAATAATTTTCATTCATTGAAGCTAAAGTAAGCGTTCTTTGGCCAAATACTTGGTCAAATTGCTGAACAATTTAAAATATGTTTGATTTTCATTTATAACTTATCTTTTATAAGCTTGCAGTTAGTAATGAGATACTTACTAAGAAGATTGTGTAAGTCTTCATCCATTATGGTTACTTAGTTGGCTTATAATGTATATTAAATTATTGACTTCCCTTTGTAAAACTTTCTTACTGAACTTTAAAATGTCTATCTGGCAAGAGTGACTTTTTGAGTAATTTTAATTATTATATAAGTGGAGGAAATGCTTTTTATAGAACTCAGTGATTTTCCATTTCTGCACACCAGTCAATATGTACAATACTTTTGGATAAAAGAGTTTAACATTTGAAATAACACTATACTGCTTTTGGAATCCTATCCATTTGTCTGGGCTTCAATGCCTTTATTTATTGTTGGACTTCAGCAAACTCTAATATGACCTAAACAGCACAGGTTATAGTTGTCAGTAATTTGTCATCTGAGGTTGTAGAAACTTTGATGTTGTACTGTTTTCACTACTGGTATACACACTGCTGAGGCTCATGTGTTGTGACTAAATATGCAGTAAAATTTAATTTGAAATTTCACCAATTGTAGAAAAAAATGATGTATTTTTTCCACAGGGAGATCAGAGTGATGGATGTTCTTGGATGGAAGAATTTAATCTAAAATGTAAACCATCCCGAGAATGATTTAGCATATTTGTTTACAAGCATTGCTACTTTTCTTGGGCCTACTATTTACTAAATATACTCAGTAGTCCTGATTCTCCTAGGAAGGAAAGAGAGATATATACTAAAATGAAGAAGTTGGCTATTTAATTTAGGAGAAACAGTTTTTCTGATTGCCCAACGGAGACTGCTTTGCAATAGTCTGGTAAACAGCACTTAGTGAAATCCTGTGATTTATTTCTAAGTAACTGTCCTTCATAGGAATGCAGCTTTTACGCAAAGGGATTACTCTCCTGCCTGCAGGGTTTTCTCCATAGCTTTTTTTAGTGAATTTGTTCCATTGCTATTTATTTTATGTATGTCCTAGCTATTCCACAAAAACATGCATTTAAAATTGTTTTATTTTTTTCACTATACTATCTCCTACTGCTGAAGAGGCTATGTTTTTTCTGATGAAGTTTGCTGTATCACTTAATGCAAATTTTTAGATTGGAAACAAGAAAGAGAACTGGAACACTGGAATGCTATATTCATGTTTGGGAGTGTCTCTGTGAAAACAGAATTGGTGGAAGTATTTATTACAAGTATTTATTTAGGATTTATTGAAATGGAATCTGCACTTACATTTTTTCTGGGATAGCACCTTGACATACTTGCTTTGATCCTGGCCTTCCATGAGCAGCAGAATGCTCTCCCTTCCCCCTCTTGAGACAACAGTTAATGTTCATGTAGGTTAAAGAGAAATGGCAAAGAAATAAAGCACTAGTTGTAGACAGTAGGTAGCTAATTAGCTATTAACAATATGGTCCATAGCTTTGCACAAGGGACTGGGTGCAAGTTTGAAGAGAAAGGAGGATTTCAACTGATCGGATTTGCTTTTGTCATATACAAGGATCAAGACTTTGGTGGTCAGAAGTGGTGAATGATCATCAGTATGTGTGTTTTGTACAGATTTGTAACTTTCAGTTCTGTGGTGTAGTATAAAAGTGTATGGAAGTAAAGAGACACAACAGTAATGGATCTCTGTTTAACTGACTGTTGCATCAAAATGACCTTTGTGATGTGATGAGGGCATTGCTTTGATACTTGACATTTATTCCTGGTTGAAGAACTTCCTTATATGATGAAGAATCTCTAGAAGAATTTAAGCAACTTAAATTGATGCACAGTTTTAAAGAAAAATGAGAATGTGTTGTACCTTATTAATGTTTTGTTTCAGTTATAGCTGAAAAATCAAAAGCATCCAGTCAGCTAAAATGATCTTCATACATATCACAATCATGATGGTTTGTATTAGCTTTAGCTAGCAGATAAGGGATAAAGTGCTAGTCAAATAATTTTAATGACCGCAAGGGAGATCATTTAGAGTGTAAAAAGGCGAAGAGAAATGGTTAGGCAACTTTTAATGATTCATACCTGTGGTTCAGCTTCCAAATTTATCTTGAAGGGATGTGCCTTGCCATCTTCTGAAACCTGTGGGGACCATAATTTAGTTCCTGCCCTAGAAAGAAAGAAAAGTAGAATTGAAATAACTTGAATTCCTACAGAGTTGTATATGTCCATGTAAAATACAATGCAGCTCGAAAATTTGCAGTTTCTTCTATGCTTTTTAAATGTTTTGATATAAAAATACTTCAATGATATGTAATGTGTACTATATGTAAACAATATATGAAAAGTGTATTTACTTTTTTAGTAATTATGTATCCTAAGAAAAATGGCAAATAATTTATTAGTAGTTACCAAATGCAAAGGGAAAGGGAAATTAGTACCTTTCTGACTTGAGCTGACAAAACTTTTTACAGGTTTATTTTTTTTTTTTTAATAGCTGATAGAATGAATGTTGGGTTCTCAGAATATTTTGCATAAATAAGTGAATATATTAGTAGCAATCCTAAACCAGAACATCAGTTTCTTTTTTTATGACCACAATATCCATGCAAAGCCTGCTTTTCAATGTAGGAGTGCAATCTAGGTATGCAAAGTATACCTGCAATTGTAAATAAAAGTTGCACAGATGATTCTTTCAGTCACTGAAGCAGAGATGTAAATATCAGTTACAATTCTGTTTTCATTGACAACGTGAAATTTGGCAGCTAATTTTAAAAAAGTGTAACAGTGCTAAATATTAATCTAATACTGTTTGTTATATAAATACAAACATTTAGCATTTTAAAAATAAGCACATTTCATAGGCACAATTACACATCACATTTTGAAAGCTGCTAAATGGTATACATCAATCTGTAACAGAACCTATAATTAAATGTAGGAATTTTTAATCGTGGTGTGTGCTCTAGTAATTAGACAATACTCTTTTCAAAAACCACCCACCTTCTGTAGTTGGAAAGGAATATTGAGTTCAGCTGTAACAAAGTGTTGTGCCTCCTTAAGGGCCTCAGGTCAATCAGCGCTGACAGCGGAAAAGAGTGTGTTAGGTGACTCTAATTAAAGGCAGAGCCCATGCAGTTAGGAGATACAGGTTGTTTCTCTTGATGGGTTTACTTAAGAGAAATGCACATAAAAAATTTCTGGACTCCTGCGGTTTAGGTAAGAGAGGTTTTTTTAGTTTTATTTTGTTTGTCATATTGCTTAGAGAATCTTGTATTTGGTTTAATACATTGTGACCAAATAGTCTGGCTTTAAACCCCCTCCTTTGTCAACCCTTATGAAAGTCTGGTGTGATGTTGCTTTCCTTAACTGGGAGGATATACTAGCAGCTTTGTCTGTGATTGGGAGCAGGAGGCAATGAGGGAGTATTAGAGTAGAGGGGTAAGTGAACAAGTGAGAGCTGGCTGAGAGTTTTATAATTTCCCCAAAATATGGAAGAACTGTTTGATTACTGGCAGTAAACATAGGATTTGTGGAATCATCAGGGGCAGTAGGTGGTTCACAGCTCAATAAATGTGGTGAGTAGTCTGAGGGGAAGTGTTATTTTTGTGCCTATGAAGATGTGTTCCAGGGAGTCTTGCCTGATCTCGAGTTCGTGAGGTGGGTCTGGGTGCTTGTAATTTTAAAGGTTTTGTGAAATTCCTAAAAATATTTAAAATAGTTACATTATATAATAGTTGTACTGTATAATCAGTTGGTTGGGTAGTATCTTGTTTCACCCGTAAGACATGTACACATACCTCTCTATTTTCAAACAAAGCTGATGTGCAGCTGCTTTAATTCTCTCCTGGGCATCATTATGTGTCATGTTCTCTGTGCTTCGACCATCAATAGCTACAATAACATCACCAGGGCACAGGTTTGCAGCTGAAGCTTTGCTTCCGGGTGTAATCTGAAAAAAGAAAAACTGCTTAAGCACCATCTGTACCTGAAAACTGATAGAGAACATAAACTTCACCATGCTTCCCTATTTCCTATTGGGTTAGGGAGGGAGTGGGCCTGTTAACAACTATATGATTGCTTACAAAAAAAGTGAGTTCTTAACTGTGCCAGAGCCTCTCTAGTTCTACTGTCAGATCACCATATAAATGCTTTATTTATCATAACTTCAAATTAGATGGTAATTATCTTCACGCTTCTGCATTAAATAGTTTCCACTCTGATTTCTGAAGTTACTGTAACTTGTCTTTGAATCTTCCGTATCAATTGCTATTTTGTAATTTTCTTGAAAAAAAACAGTTAAGTTTTTCCCTTACAACTCTAGGCAATAGCAGAAGACTAGAACTGTTAATAAATTGTGCTACTTGATGTTCATGTGTGTAATGTGCTATTGACTGGATAATCTAGAAAGCCACTTGTGGTCTTACCACATTTAAGTACAAATACAGCAGTTAGTATATTTTCTGCTAGCCTGCTCAGTAATCAGAAATATGCTAATAATACTGAAATGACATTTTTCTCTTTATTAATGTCTAATCCAGACCATGAACTCCTTAAAGTGCTTAGCTTTAAGTCCCATGGCATTTGAATAACAGTGTCCCTGATCCTTCAAGGTGATCTGTCTGGTGCAATTCATACCTCATGGAAATGTACCAATGTCGGTGACGTTCACAGAAATAGCCTTAAGCTTATCATTCTATGCTTGGTGGTTTTTTTTACTCCTGTTGATAATCTTCTACATCATGGTTAAAATAATTGATATGCAACATAATTCTCTTCTAAAATAACTATTGTAGAGATGCTGCTAAAGCTTGTTCTAGAACTGCAGGCCTTGATTTGCAACCAGATGACTTCTCATACCACCACGCCATTTAAACAGGTCTTTGGTCACTGAGGGGGATTTAGATCTCTTAGGTGTGTATTGCCATTTTAGGTGATCTTTGATAACCAAGACTGCAACATAAATTGGTGGATGTAGCACATAAGCTTCTGGAATTCAGCTCTTCTGGAACAGCAGAACAAAGCAGACAGATTGATTAATCTAAAATAACACCAGCTGCTTGTTTTTAAGTAAATGAATCCTAGTGTGAAGGACAAAAATGTCAACATAGTCTTACTTACAAGAGCAGTTGTCTGATCTGTGCTATGTATGAAGTAAAAAAAGCTATTGGAGAGACTTTATCTCGCCATGGGTTCTCTTATGGCCAAAGTAATCTCAATTATTAGAAGTAATTAAGTGCTAAAGAGAACTAGAAAACATGCTATGGAGACGTTCTTCAATTCTGATGTTTCCCAGTTTTCCAGCAGAGGAAGAGAGTGAGCTGCCCTGTATACCTCCAGTATGTTCTCAACCCCGACTATGGTGAGCCTGGCAGACTTACTGTCTATAAAGGTCATAGTACTAACTGTAACCATAAAAGCCAAATAGAAATACTATTTTTGATGTGTATTGCACTGTATTAGTATTGAAATGATTGCAAAAATCAGCCTAATAGAGTAATTCTCTCCTCTTTCCAGCTGTCCCTCTCTGTTAGGTGGGTCTGAATGCTCAAATAACTTAATTTGTGGGCTTTTTTTCTGCATTCCAGCATGTAAAATTATTTTTGGTTTCACTGTAACAAACTGCAATTCATGTGCTTTTATCAAGTCAGGCAAACTTTCCAAATGGGTATTTGTGGCCAGCTGGAGGCTTTTACCCCCTCACCCTCGAAAAGAATGGACTCATGTATTGTGTGCTTAACAAAGTGTGAAGATGACTGAATAATCTGAGTACGAATAGAGGAAGTTGCTCATAAATTCTAAGTCTGAAGTCTCCAAAATTGTCTGTTTCTCAAACATAAACAGCTGTAAGTATAAATGAACTACACTGAGATCACTTACATTATTGTAATAAGACAGGGGTAGAGGTATGATCATGCTTCTCCCTTTAACCTGGAATGGCTCCTGGCTTTACTTAGCATGTTGTGGACGTGCTGGGAATGATAAACTGCAGCAGAATTCCTAGCATTCAAGTGTGAGTGTTGATGCTCTAATACCCGAAATGGGCAAAACCAGTCATTCTTGGTTCCCTCTCAAGAGTAAGCTTGCTTGACTAGCCCTTATATAGGTTACTTGGTACATTATGCATTTTACATGTCGCAACAAATAATCTGCTCTATCTGTGGCATACTGTAGCAGTGTACTAACATAATGATCCTGCCTTATACAGTAGCGTATCTGTCTAGCATGGCAAGTTCCCTCACAGCTGTGCTGCCAGTAGGACCTAACCCACTCTGTGCTGCTGGTGATAGCGTGTGATCCCTTGGATTTTCTTAACGTATTGTTACTAGCTGCAGTGATACCCCAGTGTGGTTGGATGGGGCTACCATTGTTTGGTGGGAGCAAGGAGGGAAAGGCCTAGGAGTCTGTATTTCCTATTCCTTGGCTGAATTGATTATTGCTAGGCCTCTGGGACATGTCTCTTGGGCCTTACTTAACACCTTGATGGGGGTGCTGCACTCTACTTGCCCAGGCCTTCTGGGGTGCAGAACTACTTGCCCCTGTATAATCCTTTCCCTCATTTGCTCTTCCCAGGTTTGACGGAAAGAGCTGGAGATTTATGCTGGAATGGGGTAGGAGGAATATGGCTGGGTGCCAGCTCTTCTCTCTCCTCTGTGTTTCAGGGGGGAAATCTTGATTGTTGCTTATAGGGAAGGGGGGCAGACAAAAGCATTGCGGCCTACATTTTGTAGAAAGGGACCAGCTTGTGCATTGCAAGACTACACCATATCATAATATTGATATTGTGGGTACCTCAATAATGTGATACCGTTTCTTAAGGAACTTATTAGTGAAGCATTAAATGTGTATTGTGAACACTTAAAATCATACTATGACTGTAGTGTTTGTTGCTTGCTCACCCTGGCTTTGTGAGGTGGATTCTACTGGTGCTTTGGGAAATCTTTTGCCTTGGTCTTTAAGATGTGCCTGTATGGAATGCCTGTTGATCCTGTATCCTAGGTATCTCAGATTTGGATAAATACAAGATATGTGTTGAGCATTTGGATGTTGTCAGAGACTAGATAACAATTTAACTACATGTGGGGCAATGTCTCCTATGACACTTTGAAGAAAACCTCCTGCAGCTGTTAATAGACTTGTGAAGCTCATCATGGCATGCCTTCATAAATATTTCAGACTTTTTGTTTTCTGAAGAGAGTTATGAATGTCTGCAGACAGAGTGGCTAAATATAAAATTGAATTAATACAAATACTTGCACTGTGGTCTGTAAAGGTTTATATTAAAATAGAACTTAATTCTAGAGTTGATAATATTTCACCATTCTCTCCAACCTGTTCAAGTTTTAATTGTTTCTGTAATGCTTTATTCAATGACTTAAATTCTAGGATTATATTCCTGAATGCTTAATTCAAAATGTTACCTTATGTTCAGAATAAACAGAAGTTATTCTGTTTCATTAAGACTAGGGTTTTGGTCAGTTTCATTGATGTAATTTCTTTGCATCTATGTAAAGTTCCAAGGATTTCAGGAAATGTTTTCACTATTTCTAGTTAATTCATTGTTCTGACCCTAGTAGAATCTGAATATATCTATTTTTAGTCCCCTCCTGTTCTTCCTACTCTCCCAGTGATCACGATTTGTGGTTTTTACATTTGCTTGAAACAGTCAAGAGAACAGCCTTGTTTTGGAAATCGCAGATGGGTTTTTGAGATGACATCTGTTCTTTAGACAGGTGGATGATGATCTCTTACGTTGTCTGTCTTGGCAAGTCTTGGTAAAAGCTTTCTCTTGTTGAACAAGGACTATAGCAAACCAAACTTAATACCTGTCCAGTTATTTTATTCAAAATGTGCTTAAAAATAATTTCTATTTATTCTCTTAATGGCTAAATTTTTTTTTCTTGTCAGGACAGTTAAGCCAAATGCGAACAGGCTGCTGGTGATACCTTTAATGGAGGGAACATCTAGGCCCCAATCAAGGCATATGAATCTTGGTGAACATTCACTACTTCTTTAGGGGAACTGCATGTATACTTATTTAGAGACTTCTAAATGTGTGTTGCAGCAACAAAAATACTAATTAAAGACAAATCTTCTATTAATATTCTTGAACTTGAGCTAAGCAACCTTAAACATATCATTTTTTTCCCCCTATATATTTTATTTCATAGTTGTACTTGAAATGTGAATTCAAGCATTTCTGTAACATACTAGAAAGCAATGGCTTATGTCCTGTGAGGCATTTGGTAGGTATGAGTCAATTGCAAATTTATTTATTCTTTAGAAAGTTACATTTATAGTAACATCCTTTGTTATTGCAGTTTTAAACTTCATTGCACTTAATCTAAACACAAAGAAAATACAAACCAGACACCACTAAAATACTTTTCATTAGAGATAATGGAAACTGTTTTTCTTTTGGAGGCCCATAAAAGGCAATGAAGGCCCCAAAACATCCAGGGATTTTTTTTTCTTTTTCATTCAGTGTTTTTGTCTCTCTTTTTCTCCAAAGGCTCTGTTATGTCCTGTGAGTATTTGTTACAAAGCTACATACAGTCAAATAATAGCATTCTGGTTTACTTCTGTTTAAAATAAGTAAAATCTTTTATGCTTATGTAAATGCAGAATAAGTGATTAAATGAAATTAGTTTTTGCTAGTCTAATATGTGAAAGGTTGGTCCTTAAACTTTCTACTGACTCTTGTTTAGAGGCATATTTACTCCAAGGCATTACCAGTGGTATCCATCTTTCAAGGCTCTTGACATTTATTTAATACCAGGCATAGTGTATATATTGAGTCATAGTGCAGGGCTTTTAAAAGAAAAAAAAAAAAAGCATTGGTGATTTGGAGGCTCATGGAACACACACTCGGTGTGTCTCAGGTTCTGAAAAGAAGTAAAAACATAAGGAGAACTAATTCTAGTCTGTGCATTGAACACAATTTTCAAAATATGTATTTGGATAATTTATATATTCTACCTTTTGAGTAGATCTATGTCTGTAGATGCAGGGCAGCTGACTGTTTTATGTGCTCCATTCATCAAGTAAACAGTCTCTTAAATAAATTGGAATTAATAGCTCAGAATCCATGAAAAAATGAAGGCTTGGATTCTTGCCCTTTGTTAGGGGGTAAGGCAAACTGTCTGTTTCTAAATATGGGAGAAAACACTAAAGAACTATCTCCTTCATCTTCAGGACTGGATAACTTTCTAATAATTCACCAATTTAACATTCATGAAAGTTAAAACATTTACGTATGTAAGAACAGGTGCTGCTTCCTTTGCTGGCAATAATTAGAACTTGATTTAATTAAATGAGAGTCAGATTAATCTTGTAAAGTTGGCACAGAGTTTGCAAAGCACAAACTTCCAGACATGAGGAGCTGCTGCCAAGTAGTCTTCTCCCCCAGTGATCACAGAGGCTAGTTGTGAAAATGATAAAAGTGGGGTCTGGCCTTTGGTAGGCTCAAAACTAATTTTCTCATCTGAATGCCTGAGGAAATCATGCCAGAGTTTTTCTGCTGCTGAGGCATTTAGATTCAGTTTTTGAGGCATAAGTAGAAATGCAGTTGAAGTCTCTTAGACAAATAAAGCAATCCCAGAAACACGTCGCACTAGACTTGTAAAAACTGTTAGCGTTCAGCTGGCTTTCCTCAGAACTAGCAGCTACTTGCTAATCTACTCACAGATTTGTCTGCATCTCTGAACTCCAGAGAAGTAAAGGGCAAAAATCTGCAATGACTAATAAATGTAATAAATAGAAAGGAAGTGGAAAGAGTACATACCCTGGTTATGATTAAGGGTTGGTTAAAATCTATTCCTCCTGAGAGCCTGAATCCCCAGGGTGCTGGTCCTTGGAGAATAACATTTTGTGGCATTCTGGACAGTTTTTTCTTGGTTACTGTTGTTTATTCCTTAGGTCTGTGTGAGGAGCCAAGGTGTAGCAGGAAGGGTGCTGTCAGCAGAGCACCTGCTGGACAGGGAAGCTGACCTTGTATACCTCTTAAAAGTTTTACTTGTCCCACAGCTGCGGGCACTGCACTTTATCTGTCCTCTTTGGGTGACGTCAGCCAGTCCCTCAGCTTCTCCACCCACAGAGGGGAGTATCAAACTCGGACAAATAAAGCCGGAATGCTGGAATGTTTACAACAGATACATCAGCAGTATCTGCTGCTTCGGTGTCCCCCTCAACTCAACAATCAGTAAGCTTTGGGGTGCAGTGTCCCCCTGGTATCTTAAAGCAACCCTGTTGCTCGTTTGATTTCATGCTGATTACATTGCTGGTGCTTGTTTCAGCTATGTAATGCACTGCTCTGACTTTGTATGTGATTCAGTTTCATGTAAACATAAATATTTATAAGGAGACTTCCCTGTCAAAACTCTTGTTTTGCATCTTGTCTTATTTGTAATACAGTAGTTTATTGCATTACAAAGCCCTTGCAGCCCTTTAGCTGAGTTTTGCAGCTACAGTCACTTGGGACCATGGCATGCACCAACTCTAATGGCTTGAAAAAGCTGGACTGATGTAATGCATATTTCTTATGCTGAGGAAGAGAAGTGCAGTATTAGGTGATGATGTCTCTTCTCTTTGTAGAAATCTTAGCTTTTTTAAAGGTAGTTGCAGATACCTTCAGTTTGTTGTTGGTGTTACTGAATAAATACTTTGCTTTCCTTTTTGTTTTCTTGCATCAGCTTGATCAGCTTTATTCTGACTTCCATATCCCTTATATTTTGTTCTGAAAGAGAAGGAGAATTTTTCAATGATGGTGTACGTGTTCACTCACTTTCTTATTGTGGTGTTACAGATTTCTCTTTATATGTGATATTTGCAAAGGAAATATGTGCAGGTATAAAGTTCTTTAATCATCTCTTTGCCCAAAGTTTGGCCTGTTCTAGGACAGTATCTACAGCTCTCATCAGGCAGCATGGTGTTTGTTTGGGTTTTTTTCTCTTTCTTTACCTGCCCCAAATGAGTCAACAGCAAGTCAGTGAGAGCTTGGAAAGAGTAAAAACTGATGAAGATATAAATTTTGGTGTAATAACAATACACATTTTTTTTTCTACCTTTGCGAAAGTTTCAGGTTGGTGTTCTGGTGTGTCTTGTGGTTTTGCTCATGGTGTTTTATGTGCTTGTTTTGATGTTTTTGTTTTGATGTTTTTGTTTTGTTTTTTGGGGGGGGTGTCAGTTTTTGTTTTTTTTTTGTTGCAGAGGATTTACCCACTTCTGTTCACTCCATGTACTTTCCTTTCTTACCTTTCTTACTAGCTGCAGCCTGGTTAGAGTCTCTGATGGACAAGAGAGAGCAGTGAGTGAGATGGAAGAATAAATGCAGGTTCATACCATTCCTATAATTTTTGGTATGGATAGTTTTTTTAATAGTAGATTTCAACATAAAATTGGCTTCCACCTCTTACTCTGATTTATTGAATATTCTCATCTATGTCTGCTGCTAATATCTGTATAGTTAAAGTCCTTCTCAGTAAGATATCCTGAACTGTGGTAGTGTGTACTTGGTGTGGTGTGTGGTTTTTGTTTTTTAGTGCTGTGAAGGTTAGCCTCAGAATGTGTGGGTTGGTTTTTTCTTTTCTTGTGTTTGTCCTTTGTTTGTGGCTTGCTAGTAGACAGTAGTGTTCATTACTATTTTGTAATTGTGTACTTGTCTAGAATATTTCCAAGACCTTCTCTATTGTTATATTTCACACCCTGATTGGAATAAAAGAAATAGTACTAACTCTTTCAAAGTAAACAATCAGAAAACATCTGTATCACAAAGAGCTTGCAATGTGATGGTTGTAATGAGCTTGGCGGGGGCACAGCTTACGTCAGGGATGTGAAGCAAGGTAGGCACATTTAAAGAAATAAGGCAAGACAGGTGTTGAGGTCAGGAGCATATCAGCCACGGTAGCTCAAATATTTTGTATGTTTTGAAGCTGAAGAAAAAACCCCTCTAATTGCTTGTGAGCAGCATATATGCTCTGCTATGTTCTGACATGTTTTGAGGTTGATTCAATATATGCCTTCAACATATTGATGCTCTGTTTAAGCAGTTCATCCTGACAGATTCCATTGTGTGTTAAAGGTCAGAATTCATCACTAAGTAGTCCTTCAGTTTCTTACCTTTTATCTTCCTCCCTGTTATGTGTTTTGAGTGAAAACACTCTCATGTTTGGTACCCTTTTTTCCTTCTCTTTTCCTAGTGAATCCTGTAATTTCTTTTGGTTTGTAGCTGGGAAAGCATAGCATACTAGATGTATTCATTTAAAGAATTCCTTCACATGCAGTTCACATTTCTTTTGCATTAAGTACTGGCAATCTCAAATAGTGAATCCTTCAGTGCAGCTCAACAGAAAGAGGATTCAGAAGTACAAAAATTTCTGTATTAGGTCAAACCCATGATCAGACTCAGTTTCCAGTATCAAAACCTAGATATTTGTATTATAACTTGTTCACTTGGGAAGTTTCTTCGAAATTCCTATTAGTAAGTTATTGGTTTATATCTTCATATTAGACTTTTTTTTTCTTTTGGTGTATCATGGGTTGAGCTGTGTCTGCACACTCTTTTTAAAATGTTTTTTTTCTTCTATTCTCAAAAACTCAAAGATTTGAAAGGCAATACTGAATTGATACTTGTGACATAAGTCTCATTCCTAGTTTCTTTTCAGTGACTGTTTTTAAGAAAGTCTTTCACCCATTTACAGAGTATGTATACTTTTTTTTGTTTTATTACCCTAAAGCCCCTCTGTTTTTTCATACTAGACCAAAGTGACCGGCTGAGCTGGATTGAACCTAGAGCCTTTTATCTACTTAATAAATGTATATTCCCATCAGTGAAGTAAAGGCTATGTTCTTTTCTTCTGTCTGGTTTTAAGGCATCTTACAGATAAGAATACTGTCCTGGGACAGGCTAGACATACTGAGTAGCTTCTAAATAAGAAATCTTAACATTAAGGTTTCATTGTGATGAGACAATGTGTAACTGAGTAAGATGAGTCTTCTAAGATAATGATAGGACAGATTTTAAACTACACACTTAGCTATATTTCTGCTCATCATTTTGGCTTTTGTAATAGTTCTAGCTATGAAAATGTCTTTTTATAAATATGCAGCAGTGTGGTATTTTGGTTCTTTTTTTCTTATGCCATTGAAGCTGTATAAGAAAACAATTACTTTTAATAGATTTTCTTATTTTGTTGTACTATAAGATCATCGGTATTATAAATTCAGAGGATGTATATTCGCAAGTAAGAAAAGTTAATGGCTATGAATTTATGTATAAAGTAGCCTCCTCAGAATTGTGATATGGTCTTTTGGTTTTTAGTATGACTAACCGTAGTGTTTGAAGCAGGCTCTTGCTCTCTAGCTTGGTATTTAATTTGATTTTTGTACCGTATGTTATCTTTCTACCCTGGTCTTTTTGTTTTTAGTATGACTAACCGTAGTGTTAGAAGAAGCAGGCTCTTGCTCTCTAGCTTGGTATTTAATTTGATTTTTGTACCGTATGTTATCTTTCTACCCAATGCAATCTGAAAGCAGGGAAGCTGTGTCAACTTTCTTAGTATCACTGAAGTTTTTGAGATCTGGAGGGTCAGGGCGCAAATCTGTCATCAGAGTAGTAGCATGGTGTACAAATCTGTCACTGCACACCATGCCACCTCCCTAGCTTTGGACAGTCAAACTCCTGTGCCCGCGACATGGCATAATTTTTGCCTAGCATTAGTGAAAGGCAGACTTCCCAATTTGTGTCAGAATATTTTTGGATGTCAGTTTCTGTTTTTCTCTCCCAGTATGTCCCTGCTGTGATGGAAGGAAATGTGGTTTTCCTAACAATTTGGCAATCTGAGAGTTGAAAAGTAAGTTCAAAGTAGCAAATGTTTAAACCGATGCATCCTTCTGCAAACTCGGGGAGTGCTCTGCAGGCTGCAGAACTAGAACAAACCCTGGTAGAGGCAGAAAAAAAAAACCTCTTCAGAGCGTGCATTTTAAACTGTAAACCTCCTGTCCGATTTCAGAGCCTAGTCTCTTGCATGATAAACTGTACCAGACTAGGCCACTGTTGATGAAGTTTAGACAGTAACAGCCTAGGATACTAAATGGAGCTTGAAAATCACTTCTACATGTGGAACAGCATGTACTTAAACTGGCTCTCCAGAGGTGAAAGGCCAGAGTACTCCCTACTGCATAGCCTGTTTTCTATTTCAAAACACATGGGTATATGGGAAATCTTTTAATTATAAATACTATTTGTTTTAAAACTATTTCCCAAAGCAATAAGATATGACTGTCTTTGTACAGTTTGAAGTTTTGCCTAATTGCAGAGTCAGAGAGCAGGAAATAACGTGGATCCTGGTGAACTTTTCCTATCAGTTTTGGTTAGTGGATGTCTGATAAATTAGCAGTACCCTTAGTTTTTCCTGGCAAAGAATGAATCCTCTTTCCTTTTCCTAGCTGATAGGACAAGCAGCTCTGGCATTCTCCTCATGGACCTGGCAAAGAGAGGAGTGGGGCCCTGGCACTGTGTCCCTCTCCCTGGCGTTAGAAATTTTCAGGCTGGAAATACACATGGAGCAGAATATTCCTAGAACCTTCCCCCCTGCCACACACCCGCTTCAGCTTCATGGTTGTTTTGAAACAGTGATATGGCTCAACTCTCATTTTAAACTTTCAGTTATCATTTTCACATAGCTCTGGTACTTCTCCCTGCTGTTTAGGTTCTGAATAGCAACATGCAACTGATAAGCATCTTCAACTTTCTGTCTGCAGGCTTGGGAAGCCAAGAATGTCCTGTCTTGTATTTTTGTTTTTTTTCCTTCTCATTAATCTTTCAAGGGTGATATATTTGTTCTGAAAATACTGCAGAAACTGAAGACTTAAACCTACTTACCTTTCCAAGAAGCTCCCTACTTAGCAAGCAGGGAGTAGGTGGCGCCCTTTAGATCCTACATTGAAGACCCGATCTAAATCAACAAGGAAATAAGTGAAAAGTTGTTTGT